CGCCAAGCATCCAAATTTTGATCATATGGCCATGGGGATGCTGCAATGGTTCTGAGTGTGAAAAACAGTCATGAGGCACTTTTTTTCAGTGTCATTATAACTTGGAATGGTCACTAAATGAATGGTTAGAAGTTGAGGACTACCTATAATGAATTTGTACAGCTTTTTAAATGTCAGATAACATTTCTATAAATATTAAGAGATTATGTTGTGCCTCTGTTCTCTCCCTTCCCTAAATTAATTTTTTTCATTTGAATTAATCTAGACAGAGAAAAAACAGAAGGAAAGGGGGAGAAAAGGACAACTTTGTCCAATAATCACAATAAATGCAAGAAAATATAACTCTGTTTCCTTGCTTGTACTGCCATCTGCTGATTTAGTAGTTCAGCTGGAGTGACAATTATTCTCTGCTAATCCAGATACTATTCACTCACTGAACTGTATATTCCTGGACAAAAAAATGTATGAGACTTCAGGTTCTATAGTCCACAGCCATAATAATTTAAAGCTAAAATGTTGCTTTACTGCAATTTGAATGTAGGCTGAAGAAAATATCTGCCATTGGATGAACAGAAAGGCTGTAACTTTATGCTAGAGAACAAATGCCTACCCTCTGGAACAGGGGTCTCCAAACTTGGCCATTTTAAGACTTGTGGACTTCAATTCTCAGAATTCCTCAGCCAGTGAAGCTAGCTGAGGAATTCTGGGAGTTGAAGTCCACAAGCCTTAAAGTGGCCAAGGTTGAAGACCCCTGCTCTGGAACATCTTGCCCTATGGAGTAAATTCGACTCCAACTTTCCTGATCTTTTGTAAGAGCCTAAAGGCTCTGCCAGTTAGTTTGGGGTTCCAATGAGGGAGCTTCACAGTGGAGATGGTCGATAGCAGTGATGGGATTCAAAAATTTTTACTACTGGTTCTGTGGGCATGGCTTAGTGGGCATGACAGGGGAAGGATACTGTAAAATCTCCATTCTCTCTCTACCCCACTAACCTGCTTTCTAGTGTTCTCCTGTACAGGGCAACAAAAGAAGTCCCAGCCGATCAGCTGGGACTCGGGCGGCAGAGAATAGATGGGCACGGGGCCAATCGGAGGTGGTATTTGCCAGTTCTCCGAACTACTCAAAATGTCCGCTACCGGTTCTCCAGAACTAGTCAGAACCCGCTGAATACCACCTCTGGTTGATAGATTAAAAACAGATCCCACTTCCCCCTCATCTGCTCCCATCCTCCCCATCTTTAATTGGATCTTTAATTTGGCTTGTATTAACTTATTTATGTTTTAGTATCTATATTGTTTTTATCTGTTTATGATTGTAACTCGCTCAGACTTACCCTGTAGTTAGATGGGCAGCTAATTAAAAAAACGAGCAAACATCTGCAGACCCAATGTCTTATGAAATTACATTTGCAATACGTATAATTCTTCTTAAATTAGAAAACCCGACCACAATGGCAATAAAATTCAAGATCTGAAAGATACTGGGAGGATAGGGGAGATAAATCTTCCATAACACTTCTCCAAATTGCATTCCCACACATGGCATTATTTATCTCAATGTACAACTTCAAATGTCTAATGCAGGATTAGTTGACCTCAATCAGAGGCCACAGTCCTAAAATATGAGCAGGGCTGGAACCAAAAATCAGAGCCATGGGGGGTTGGGGAGATCAAAAATTAATTTAAGAAGCATAGGCCTTCACTTCTGTACTTTATGGTGCATCTTTCCTCTGGCTGATCACCAGCAGCTCTTCGTTGCTTTAGCCCTGTTTTTCAGATTTGACAACTGTTAAGATGTGTGTAGTTTAATCCCGGAATTCTGCAGCCAGTATGCTGGTTGAGGAATTCTGGGAATTGATGTTCACACACCTTAAAGCAGGGTTGCGGAAGATGGTCCCTTTATGACCTGTGGACTTCGACTCCCAGAAGTCCTGAGCCAGCAACTGGCTCAGGAATTCTGGGAGTCGAAGTCCACAGGTCGTAAAGGGGCCATCGTTCCCTACCTCTGACTTAAAGTTACCAAACTTTAAAAATACTGCTTTAATTTCACCCATGCTCTTGAGAAATACTTCTACCAGACACTTTTTTGAGCATATTTCCGTGTTGGCCTTTCAACCCATGGCATACAGTCTGTGTGTATTTAATGATCTGATTTGATTTAAATCCTGCCTCACAATACCCTTTCCAAATCTGTTGAGAAAAGCTGAAAAGCAGACATCAAAAGACAAATAAAAATACCATCTCTGAATATTCCGTTTAATTTAGGGTTAAAACAGATGTGCTTTGCTTGCTCCTCTAAAGATTAAGACAATGGGGAGTAAAACAGACGTGGAATAAGTGAGGGGCTGAAAGGATAACATCTAAGAGGAAAAGAAGATTATAAGAATGTAATTATCTGTTGAAGAGAAGGTTGGAAGTCATTGTATTTCATAAATTTGGTTACCTCCTTTTCTCCCCCCTCCCAATCTTTTCCTTTTTTCTTTCATTCCTTCTTTTTTTAAAAAAAAGTGTTTTTACTCCATGTAAAATTCTTAAAATATGTAAGTAAATAAATAAAGATCGACAGGGAATAAAATTTATTCCGGATGGGTGGGGGGAGAGGAGATGCTGGAAAACCTATTTTTCCTCCATATAAAATAAATAGGCTGCTAGATCAGCCAGTTCTGCAGAAAATCTTCTCCTGCAATTCTTAGAATCTGATTATATTTGCAGTGAAAGGGGCAGTTCCTCAAATACTTAGGCTGTAGCTTTTTAGATTATCAGACTTAACACCAACACCAGAATGAGTGCTTGCTTGGAGAGAGATTAGCAATCAGTGCAAATCCTTTAACCAGGGGTGGGATTCTACCAGTTCACACCTATTCGGTAGAACTGGTTGTTAACATTCTAAGCAGTTTGGAGAACCGGTTGTTAGAAGAAATTACTGGCCTAATCCTGTAAGGAAAGCAGGAAGGAAACATTCTGGTGTTGCTTACAGAAACTGCCTCTCGTTAACCCTTTTTACATTCTTGGCAGGACTAGACTTCCTGTCTCAGGAACGTCTCTGGAGTTTTCTTCCCCTCCTTTGCTGGTACTTTGCTTGTGTGGAATGACCATTCAAAGTTAAAATGGCACTGAAAAAAGTGACTTATGACCATTTTTCACACTTATGACTGTTGCAGCATCCCCACAGTCATGAAAGGCCAGGCGAGGCGATGTGTGCCTCGATGTGAGTGATATTGAGTTGGCCACACCCAGCCAATAACATGATCACCAAGCCACGTCCACCCAGTCACATGACCACCAAGCCATGCCCACCAACTAAGCCATGCCCACAGAACCGGTTGTTAAAAATTTTGAATCCCACCCCTGCCTTTAACACTCACGTCACACAACCTCCATATCTCCATGTCTTCTTAAGGTAACAGCCTACTTAGTACATTTTGCACTAACTACAATTTGTTTTAATTTCCCCCCCTACCTTTATTTGTTTGAATACCAAACAAACAATGAGTATCAGGACAAAATATTCATATCAAAATGCTTTGAGTACCAAATTTGATGAGTTTCAAAGCAGTTGAGTACCAAGGTACCACTGTATAAACAACACAAGGTGTCAGACCTGCCCCAACTTGGTCTTTTAGGCAAGAAAGACCCTCTGCTCCATTTGTAGTGAAAAATATATTTTACTAAAAGCCAAGTGATTTACAATATAGCAGAGCCAGAACTGAAGTTTGCATGCCAAAAGATTTCTGTTAACTTTCCCTTCAGTTCCTCCCCAGTTCCTCCCCTTTGCTAGACCCTTATTGGCCAATAATATTTGAATAAAATATTTAAGGAACTGTCTCTTCAATGAGTCATTGCATTCCATTCCTTGCACTTTGACCTTGAAATGGTGTCTCTGGAAGACATGATGGATAGTTAGCCTTCCCCCCTCCCAACTGCTCCCTCAACCCCATAGTTCATGGCAGGCTGGCAGTTAGCGAATGCAAAGCTCAAGTCAATGATGGCAGTTCTGATACAAGATGACAAATATACATAATACTTCTTCCTCCTTCCCTTCTCCTCACCCTTCCCTGCAACAACAACCCTGTGAGATGATGTGGTTCAACTGGTATAACGACCAGTTTGGTGAGTGCGAGTGCGTGCCAAACACGTGCTTCACGTATTTGGTGCATAGCATTTAGAAAATACCATTTTTAGGTATAATACTTACTTTCTGCTGCATCCCCGGTGAGTAAAACAGCTGATGTGCAGCAAATCAGCTGTGCTCAAAAACAAGGAAATAAAGCACAGAAAAAGGGAAGGGGTGGTTGGGTGGGGCCAAATGATTACCAGAACTACCAGTTCACCCGAACCGGTCCAAACTGGTAGAATTCCACCCCGGGTGAGTTGGACTGAGGGGAAATGACTGGCCCTAAATCACCCAGCTGGCTTTGAGCCTAAGGTGGGACTAGAGCTCACAGTCACCTGGTTTCTAAGTCAACACCTTGACCACTATAATCAAATTGGGTCTCCAGTTTGGAGACTTTCAGAGACTTGTAAGGGTATCTCCAGTGGTGGGATTCAAAAAAAATTACTACCGGTTCTGTGGGTGTAGCTTGGTGGGCATGGCTTAGTGGGTGTGGCAAGGGAAGGATACTGCAAAATCCCCATTCCCTCCCCACCCCACTAACCTGCTTTCCAGCTCCGTTCTCCTGTGCACGGCAACAAAAGAAAACCCAGCTGATCAGCTGGGATTCGGGAGGCGGAGAATAGATGGGGGCGGGGCCAGTTAGAGGTGGTATTTGCCAGTTCTCCAAGCTACTCAAAATTTCCGCTAACGGTTCTCCAGAACTCGTGAGAACCTGCTGAATACTACCTCTGGGTATCTCCCTTAATTTCCCAAAGAATGCTGTAAACTACCCTGTCAAGTCTTTTCAAAACCACTCTCTGCCCTATTCCAGTTCCCTGCACTAAATATCTGCTTCTCACTGAGGAACTTTGCAGATCCAGCAGCAATCAGTAATATGTAAATAAATGCACTTTACCGACCATTCAGCTAACTTCATTTAGAAAGAGAGAGAGAGAGAGAGACACTAAAAGGCTTGCCATCTAAGTTCATTTCAGAGGCTATGCAATCCAGACCATAAGCTTTTCAGAGAAAAAGCAAACTTCTTGGATTACATTGCTCAGTTCTGTCCAGCTGTTTAAAGCAGTCTGCATCTACTGCCACGTCAGTTAGAGTCTGGCTGTATGATTCCCCGACTTAATGCAGAAAACATCTTTTTCTCAGCTGCTCAGTAATACTAAGAATTATTTTAAATAATAGCTTTCATTAAAATTAAAAGTTAGCATGGGGACCAAATAGGGAAATAAAAAAAAATGTCCATTATGTTATAACTGCCCCTAACATGATCTCTCCAAATATTCTAATAAAAGAACTCCAGGATTCCAGGCCATGGTTTTGGGGAATTCTGAGAGTTCTTACCTCATCTCTGCAAGAGGTTGAAAAATTCCAAACAGCATATTAGAAAGCGGATAGACATTTTTATACCCATTCCTCATTCCACCTGGAAGCCAGGTATGTTGCATGAATCCAGTCCTTGTAGTTACATTATGGTAGAGTGTGGTGTACATACTCAATAATTTCAATAAGTCATGAATTGTTAACAGTAGGATTGTATTATCATCACAGCTGTGCTTTTTTTCTCTTAATAATGCCACAGGATAGAAATTATAAGTGATAGTATTTATTTTAAAAGGCTGTAAGAAAGCATTTGTTAAAGAGAACAGAACACATTCCAGATATTAACGATGTAAGCAGAACATGTTACTGCAAAGAAGCTATGTTTTGCAAATAACCAGCCTCAGATAAGATAAAAGGTCTTTTGCTCAGGGCGGGTTGTCTTCATTTAATGACTCCAGCTGGGACCAGCAACTTGTTTGTTAAGCAAAGTGATCACTAGGTGAACCCCCAACTGTACTTCTGACCTTACTTCAACTTTCCTTTGCTTTACAGACTTGCAAAAGCCATCAATGCAAGGGTCAGCCCCAAACTTGTTCATCTCTGTCCTAACTGCGAACAATTGCTAAAGGAGGGCTACCTATATTCTTCTCTTTTCTCTAAAAAAAAGTTTTAAGCACAATCTGAATGTTATCTTTGCACAGTCAGATATTTAGCCATGTTGAGGATTATTCCCCCATTTTCATCATTCACTAAACAATAAAAAGCATATCTCATCTGGCCCTATTGTTTACTACCTTCACTGATTTACTACAATTGCTTGTGCAATTATGTTGCTTTCATATCCTTTTTCTTAAAGTAACTCTGATATTTTCAATTTACAGGTCTGCAATTCTGCTGACCATTCTAAAGAAGAGATGATCAGCACGAGCAAAGGAGTGGAGTTGGAATTATCGTGTTCATAGCTTTCCAATCCAGTAATGGCATGCTAATACAGTGAGTCATTGATGCATTCAGCGGTGCAGTAAAATATCACAAATGCATTTATGCTGGAAATGTAGTTCCATTGTCCTGAAGGGTGCAAAGTAATGCAGTGTGCAAAGAGCCTCCAATCTTTCAATAAATTGTTACACTAAAATGTTATGCATATTAGACTGAGAAGTGCTATTAGACAGACTAATTTCTGGAAGTTAATGACGTTATCCTGTTATCTGTAGTATGTTCTTCTGATCTTCATTGACACAGACTTAATTTTAACTGGCTTGTTATCAACCTTCCAGGTGTCCCACTGGATACCCGATACCAGCATCTTCCTTGTGAACCGGTGGACGCCATTAAGATTTGCAAGACCACATTGGTTAAACCACCAGCCCGTGTTCTCACTAAAGTTACTGCAGCTCTTGATAGGTGGCTCTTGGAGAGAGCAGGCTGGATAGCAACCATCGTTATCCACATCAAAGGTACTGAATGGTAATGTATCCTGGTTATCTTCTTTTCTATAGCCCCGAAATGCATCACCTCAGAAGGAACAAACAGATAAGGGGAGAACAAAGGTCATCAAAGATCAATCTATTTGCTTCTTCTTTAACTACTTGGAAATAATGATAGCCTTAATCATTTGCAAATCAGACACTGAACTATTTCATTGAGGGCCACATCAGAGCTGTTTTTGACCTCAGGGGACTGGGTGGGTGTGGCCAGGATGAGTGTGGTTAGCTCCATGTTGCTTATGTCAGGAGCGCCTGTGGTGTGCCAGTGAAAATGGGCTCCCGAGCTCTGTTTTCAGCTGCGATGGCCTCCTGCAATCCTCTGCCAGAGAAAACAGAGCTTGGGAGGACCTGCCTGTGACCTTCCCAAGCTCCATTTTCACTGGCAGAGGAACCAGGGGTCGGTCCTTCGCTGTTTCCTGTGTGCCCTGCAGGCCAAATCTTAGCATCCCGTGGGCCAGATCTGGCCCACAGGCCTTGAGTTTGACAACCCTGCTCAGGAGAATAAAAAGAGTCTTTATTAATCGCTGTGACAAATAAACCACAGGAACAACTCAGAAATTCTGCAACCAAAGGTTCTTTCTCCATCGCGGAATTGAACTGCTTGCCAACCATATAGAGCAGTGGTAGTCAACCTGGTCCCTACCGCCCACTAGTGGGCGTTCCAGCTTTCACGGTGGGTGGTAGCAGTTTTGTCCCCTACTTTATAAATCACCATTACTGTGGAACTGTATTAACAGTTAGAGAAAATTTTACTACTAACAAGAGATACAAAAGTGGGCGGTAGGTGTAAAAAGATTGACTACCCCTGATATAGAGCATTGTCCTGCTATCCTTGAGTCAGCAGAAAGCTACCAGCGTGAAACTTCTTGTCCTCATTGCCAGATCCTATCCTGTCTCTATTTCCTTTCTTCCCAGTGACTGGCCATCAAGGGACTGGGTTTCCCTTCAAGGGAAAACCATATTTACACACCCCCATTCTTTCCTTGAACACTTGTATAGCTAAGGATATCAGACTGCTTCTCTATAGACTGAGCACAAGATGAAGGCAACGCCATAAGGACGTGGAAGAAAATAAAATGCTGCCAGGACATATTGTGCCATATCAGGTGCAAGTGGGAGACATTTCTTCACAACAGAAAATAAAGCAAGTGCAGGCGAATTTGGTGAGGTTGGATGGTCTCTCTCCCTCCCTCCCTCCCTCTCTCTCTCATCAACACACAGGCATGCACCATATGCAGGGGTGGAATTCAAATTTCTTAACAACCAGTTCTGTGGGTGTGCCCACAGAGTTGGGTTGAAAAAGACCCGGGTGTATTCTTTCTTTGTGATTTGGTTCTAGACCAGGGGTGTCAAACTCAAAGCACAGGGCCCAGATCTGGGCAGCAGGGTGCTTAGATCTGGCCTGTGGGGCCACTCTAGAAATAGTGACAAACTGGCCCACAAGTGCCTCTGCCAGCCAAAACGGAGCTCGGGACTCCCAAGCTCCGTTTTGGCTGGCAGAGGGTTGCAGGAAGCCATCACAGCTGAAAACAAAGCTCGCAAAGGCCATGGGCAGCACTCAGGAACCCCTTTTTGCTGGCAGGGCCACTACAGGTGCCCCCAACCTGAGTGACATTGAGCTGGCCATAGCCACCCTGGCCACGCCCATCCCAGCCCCTCAAGGTCAAACACAACCCTGATGCGGCCCTCGATGAAATAGAGTTTGACACCCCTGTTCTAGACTATCCAGTACAGCTACAGACATTATTCGTCATCTTATTTTCCCATATTGTAGAAACTTGCTTTGAAAAACCGACTATTTGACCCTCCAAAACTTACCAGCATTTCCAGAATAACGCCCTAGATGTATTTTGAAGGAGCACGCTTCATCCTCTAGCCAAAAGCTATCATACGATGCGTACGCATACATGTCATCTTCAGACTCCAAGTCTATGTAAAGCATGAAACTGGTGGCTTTCTGATTTGCTATGTGGAAAATCTTTCGGAGGCCGAGCCAAAATTCCCCTAGTCAAAAAAACAGAATATAGACTTGAAAAATCCTTATGCCTTGCCCATGTTCTCTCCCAGGCAGCTTGCTCTGAAACTGACATTAAATAATTCTAAAGATCTAAAGTTTAAAGGTTTGTCTGCAGAACATCAACTTGCCCATCACTCAATTGCCATCAGAAGTGGGAGGTCTGGGGAGCTGAGAAAAAAATCACAGTGAGCTGTCTTCCTATGTAGAGTGCAAGGGAGGGAGGGATGTGTTACTAAATACATAAACATTACATCGCATTAGTGCAGAAACAGTCCTGGCATGGCATTTTTTCCTCAACAAAACATTTGGACACTTCTCCAGGATCAATACCCTTGCAAAAGATATCTAAGTATAAATAAAGTTTGCATGTATCTTTTGTACATTTGTGCAACTCAGCCAATAATCATTGATTCTTTGGCACTGTTGGAGGATTTTATTTTTTATTGCAAATCCTTCTGATGTAAGCTTTTCTTTAACATTATATATAATTGCATGCAAACCTTCAGAAATAGACTTTTTCTTAAAAAAAAAAATGCAGTTGTTCTTAATGAGGACAAATCACGGTGGATACATGCTTTTGCAAAGATTAATAGAAGCAAAATGGCCAGATACGATCCTGGTGAGAAACTTGTAGAAATTCTTTTATATCTGTATAATTAATTACCTTTTTTCAGCTTTTTTTTTCTGTTTTCCCTCATTCAATGTCCTATTCAGCATCATCAACTCTAGTTTGCATATAGATTGTCCTCACCTTACTACCAGTCTTAGAAAGCGCTCAAGATTCCAATGAACCCCCCCAAAACCTACTTATGACCCAGTTTCAAATTTTGACATCATCCCTCCCCAGTGTCACATGACCATGGCTTGCAAAAACATGGATTTCCCTAAGCATTTGAAATCATTTAACACCAGTTCATAAGGTGAACTCACTATTTAAACTTTCCATTTACAGCTCTCTGGTGTTAGAAGAAAAGGAGGCCTTGTTCTTGTTCTCCCAACTGATATTTGGATTCTATAGAATTGCCTGACTTGTCCTTTCAGATCATTCTCAGGTATCTCCTCTAGTATCATTTAAGGATGAAGATGGTTGCAGTTGTTGTGAATCTTTCATATGTTAAAACCACCGATCAGTGATGGGATTCAAAGTTTTTTACTACTGGTTCTGTGGGCATGGCTTGGTGGGCATGGCAGGGGAAGAATACTATAAATCTCCAGTCAGAGGTGGTATTTTCTGGTTCACCGAACTGCTCAAAATTTCCGCTACTGGTCTCCAGTACTGGTCAGAACCTGTTGAATACCACCTCTGCCACAGATGTTTGTAAACCAAATGTCAACTCATACAACATTTTGTATACATGTGTTATAGTTGACAACAGAAAGAAGGGGGGGGTTCAAAGAGCAGGCAGCAGTGTGGAATCGAAAGTAGATTCCATTCATATTTTCTTCAAAGACTAATTAGATGACTGAAGCTTCTGCCACGCAAAAATCTAATTGGAGGGCATGATTGAAGACTCTTGGCTATGGACTTTTTTTGTTGGATGATACACCCAGAGAGGTGGGGGGGAAAGCAGGATCAAGGGTGACAGTGAATTACGTATCTCAGAGTTGGCTACACCCAGGTTAATGCCAGACGTAGAATGTTAACTTCAAAAAAATCCTTTTTAGTTTTGGGAGTGTGGCTCGAGACTCATGATTTAATTGGAGTAACTGCCGGAATCCTGACACCAAACATTTATTGTAATTGTCTGCTGTTTGACCCATACATTAGGACATTGAGCTACATTGGAGCAACTAGGAAGAGGTGTAGCACGAATAATAAATTAATACCTGAAAGGTCGCCAAATCCATCCAAATATTCAGACCATGTCCTTTGAAAGTCAACTGTTCCTTCGGTTCTCTTCTGAATCACTGTCCATCCCCCTCCTCTAAAGTCCATTTCACACAAAACCTAAAATGATTAAAGGGGGCAGAAGAATCCTGTCATGAGCCAATGTGATGCATCAGTTAAGATGTTGGGTTAAAACAGAGGAAACCTAGGTTGACTTCCACTCTCACTGAGTGATTTGAGGTCAGTCTTTCAACTTGGCCTAATTCAGAGGTTGATTAGCAGGGGAATAAAATTAAGGATATCCAATAAACCAACTTGCAGTCCCAGTGAAAACTTGCCTTATGAATCTAATGAATTATATTTTTAACACAAGTTACAAATACAGCATATGGACTCTTCCTCCTAAATGAAACAAAATTCTAATGTCCAAAGATCCACATAATATATGGATCTTTGGTTATTCAGGTTTTCTCCCATGTAAAATTGGAAGTATCTAGGCGACGTTTCAATGAAGTCTCATTCATCATCCTCAGGCTTGTGTCTTCGGCTTTGTGCTTCTTGGAGTAATGTGAGCTTGCGGCTGCTTCTTCCTTTTAACTGCTAGTGGGGGTGTGACTTGATTGGGTTGGGGCTTGGCTGTGTTCTGATTGGGTGGGGGGGTGTTCTGATTGGTTGGGGGGTTGGCTGTGTTCTGATTGGTTGGGGGTATGTTCTGTTCAGGTGGGGGCTTGGTTGTGCTCAGGTTTGTCTTAGTTGCTGGGGGATTTGAGCTGGTGAGCTGTGATCCTGTTGTTTGGCTTCATGTTCGTGGTCGTGCCACATCTTCATGGTGGGCATCAGTTCACTTCATGTATGGGTCGGAGGGGTTTGAAGCAGGTAGTGATGCAGCTGCGGTACGGCTTCTGGTCCGTGGTCGTGTCTCATCTTCTGTGTGGGTGTGAGTCTGCTTTCTACATGGAAGTATGGTGGTAGCATCTTGTGTGGCCCTCGTGGGTGTGGGTCTGGTGTCATTCTTTATGTTAGGTACTCGTTTGTTAATGAGGGCGGATTTCCAAATGGCTGGTAGGCGGGAGGTATCATCTCGTTTATTCATGCTGTGTGGGCGTGTTTCTATCTCTAAGGCTTCTCTGATTATTCTGTTGTTGAAGTGTTCGGTTTTGGCGATAGTTCTGGTATTTTTACAGTCAATCTCATGTCCTGTGGCTTTGAGGTGTTGGACCGGGGAAGAGATCGGTTCTTCTTTTTTGATTGAGTTCTTGTGTTCTTCAATGCGTGCACTTATTCTTCTGTTAGTTTGTCCGATGTATGTGGTGGGGCAGGCGGTGCAAGGGATTTCGTATACTCCTTGGTTTTCTAACTCGATTTTGTCTTTAGGGTTTCTTAGAATGGTGGATGCTTTTCTGTTTGTGCAGAATGCTGTTTTAATGTTGTGTTTTTGGAGGATCTTGCTGATTTTGTCTGTAGTGCCTTTTATATATGGGAGGAGGACTTTGCCGTTCTCTTGTTCTCTGTTCTCACATTACTCCGAGAAGCACAAAGCCGAAGACACAAGCCTGAAGATGACGAATGAGATTTCGTCAAAACGTCGCCTAGATACTTCCAATTTTACGCGGGAGAAAACCCGAATAACCAAAGATCCACATATATGTATGTATGTATGTATGTATGCATGTATGTATGTGTGTGTGTGTGTGTGTGTGTATCTGATGGTATATTCTGCACAGTTTTGTCTGTTTAGAAAAGGAATATCATAACCCATGGTTATTGGATCAGTAAATAATATGTGGTTGGATCTTCAATTTTGAAAGCAGGGGAGAAAATTTTCCTGGGCTGCTGCAGTGTAAAAATAATTCTTAACAATTTGGAGCTGCACACAAAAGCAACAGCAACTTAATTGTAAGTATTTGGTTGTTTGATGTCATATTCAGTGAGGGAAGGAGTGTTTTATTTTCTGCTACGTGTTCAGGAATATACTGTATTTTCTGCACTGTAAGACGCACCTAGGAGGAAAACAAGAAAAAATATCAGGCAGAGCTTGAGAGGACCACAGATAGGTGTGTGCCAGCTCTGCCTATTGACTTTTGCACTCCAGAAAAGAGACAGAAGAGGCGGACAATGACAAAGACAGAAGATATGGGGTTCAGCACTATAAAAGAACCCTGCTGCCATGGCTCAGCTAATATTCCCCAAAGGACTGGCACCGACGCATAAACATTTCCACCCACCTTTTTTGGGTGGAAAGTGCATCTTATAGTGTAAAAAATATGGTAATTTCTTTGGTGTTTAAACCATGAGACCTATAAAATGTTTTAATACTTCTTGGTCTTGATCCCTCTGAAACTTGAAATTTCATTCCTCATTTTACAGTATTAGCTGTCATAACATGTGTTTTCCATTGGTTTCTGATCTATATCCAATCTTATGACTAAATATTTCCATTTATTTGATGATGTCAACTTTTGTAGACACCGGTATTGGTTTCTAAGAGTTGGGAAAAAGTTAACATTGGTTGAAACAAGTTTTGTCATTTCTGAAAATATTCCAGTGTATGCTGAAACATTCCATGCTTTCTAACTCCTAGGGGAAAAAATGCATTCATTGCTTTTGGGGTAAAAAATGCAAATGATTTTAAAAGTACGCCGGTTTGAAAATACAACTTGCATATTTTCACAGATATAAACCTAGTTTCTCCCAGAAAATATTCTATAGGACTACAGCCTGTATTTATTCATCTATTATTATTTTAAATTAAAGGTTGAACATTTTACCTTTCAGCTTTATCATTTGTTTCTTTATTTCCACATTTACACCTTCCTTTAATTCAAAAGAGCTCAAAATTTCGCTTTCATGACTCTCCTTCCATTCGTATCAATGAGCACTTTTCTAGATTCTCTAACTTTTAGGAGATCTTTTAAATGTTGAGTTGTTGATCATGTTGATCACAAATTGATTGATTGCATTCCAAAATATTAGAGCTGTGGTGGCGCAGTGGTTAGAATGCTGTATTGCAGGCTAATTCTGTCAACAGTCAGCAGTTTGATCCTGACCGGCTCAAGCTTGACTCAACATTCCATCCTTCCAAGGTTGGTAAAATAAGGACTCAGATTTTGAGGGCCAATATGCTGACTCTGTAAAAACTGCTTAGAGAGGGTTGTAAAGCGCTATAAAGTAGTATATAAGTCTAAGTGCTGTTGCTTTTGCTATTATTAAACTCTGAAAATATAACATTAGCTCACTTTTTATGTTGCGTTTTCTCTATGAAGTCTCCTGCATAGTTTCATCGATGTGTTGAATTAAAAGCACATTTTCTTGGGGTTTTATTAGTCACTCATTTTGTAAGCAACAATGTTGGGATAGGCTCAAGAAGGGTGGGAGGTTGATGGGGCAGCATAGAACTCTGGAACTGTTTTATGCGCAGTTCTGTTCTGAGTCTGTTTTGCCATAAAATCATAAAGTACCTAAGGCTAAACATCTATCTAAGAAAATACTTTTTCTCCAGGAGCTTTCTGTTAGTGGGCAGGTGAGCAAAGCATGGGAAAGATAGACTTATGATTCCAGATATCATGAGGTCCTATATTTTTGATTTGTCAAAACTACAATTCTGTACAAAATAATTTTCCTCTTTTGGGGATTTCCCAAAATTTTGCCTAACTTTGCCCCTGAATGTTATTCGAGCTTTATGGCTAACCCCCTTTAAGCTTAATGAGTTGTGTGAACTCAGCCTGTGAGTTGTGTGAACTCTGTCTAGCATTCTGAGAAGCCAGGACACTGGATTAATCAAATCAGCCATGTTCAGATTTCCTGTGGATAAGCTGTCCTAAGAAAAAAAAAATCAAGCAAAAGTAAATATTACCTCAAAGGGATAACTTGCTCCTTCTGGATGGATTATATATAAACCGCTTGGAGTTTTTGTAACCGAGCCAATGGTATCTTTAATATCACTGCAATCTAAACCTACAGGACAACATTACAAAGGGATGTTTTAGTTAAATAAAAGAGATCTTTTTTCAGACCAATGATTTGTTCAGTATTACAACTCTTGAACATGGAACTCCCTCTACGGTAAATCTGAGAGATGTGGGGTGATATTTATTTTTTTACCACTGACAGGACTATTCTTTTCTCCCCAATTTAAAAGGATTCTGGCTAGTTATGATAGGTGGAAATCTTCAGAATCCTTCTGTAACCGTTCTGCACTCCTGCATTCAAGAAAGATTTTCTTTTGGGATTGCTTCCTTATTTAAAAAAAAAAACCACGATATTATCAAAGCTCTAGATCAGGCATCTCCAACTTGCGGTCTGCAGGGTGCATGTGGCCCTGACAGGTAGTAAATAATGTGGCCCCACAATAGACTTTTAACATTATTATGTGCTTTTATATGCATGACCTATATTATATATTTTATATGCAGTTTAAGACAATTCCTCTTCACTCAGTGTGGGCCAGGGCAACCCAAAAGGTTGGAAATGCCTGCTCTAAATGAAGTCCCAGATTCTGTAATGGAAAAAGGAGAGGCCTCACTTGCCTCTTTCTGCCCTAGGAATCCATAGATTTGAGTAGATTTTGCGTGATTTTAGCACTTGCTGGTGTTAGAGTAGAACTTGAAAGACCATCCTGTGTGATGGAAAGTCAATGGATGAATTTAGTCTATCATTATCTCTCAGACTCGACTTCTTCCTAGGATGGTTATTGTGCAGGGAAAAAATGGAGAAGAAGAATTGTGCATGGTTCATTGAATGCTGAAGGAAAGAAGGGAAGGGGAAGGAGGGAGGGCAGGAGGAAGAAAGGAAGGAAAGAAAGATTTAAAAGAGGGTATCCTGTTTAGGTGTATCAGTTATTTTCATTTTCTTATTCTGTTTTCTTTCCTTCTAAAAATGAAACAAAAGTCTATTATGGGGAACTGTATTGTTTTAGCCCATCAACTGGTATAGTTCCCACTGATATCACAGGCAAGCTTCAAGCTTGTCAGATGTTCTGGTAAATGTTATTTTATCAGCTTTAAATTTACAACTTTAAGCTATGTCCTAGGCCCGTGGTGGTGTATCTGTGGCACGTGTGCCAGAGGTGGCATGCAGAGCCCTCTTTGTGGGCACGTGCACCATTACCAGCTGAACTTTTGGTTTCCGGTGCGCCAGCTAGTCTTCACGTGCGCAGGAGCACCGGAAACCCGAAGACCAGCTAGGCCAGCTGGTCTTCAGGTTTCTGGTGCATGTGCAGACCAACTGGCTGGTGTGCATGTGCATGCTGAAAACCCAAAGACCAACTGGCCAGTGCGCACATGTGCACTGACCAGCTGGTCTTTGGGTTTCTGGTGCTCCGGCATGTGCACATGCACATGTTCTGGTTTGGGCACTCAGCGCCGAAAAGGTTTGCCATCACTGTCCTAGGCTATGGTTCAATCATTTCAAATATCAAAGTTGCCAAGGCTTCAGGTCGATGTGCATGACGTAAGTTGGAATTCAATCTAGGGGCCTGAAGCAGGTGATGGGTCAAATATTAATAATCATCTTACTCTGCTCCCTTTTCCAAAATTAGCTATAGGTAATTTTGACCCATAAATTCTCACTGCATTCCAGATAGTGAGCAGGCATTTGTGACCTATTCTGAATGAAGCAAGCAACCATCAAACTTCAAAAACGGTAGTAAAAAACCACTCCATTGGATGTATCATGCTATGGTAGAAACATGCTATTCAATATATATTTCAGTAAATACTGTAAAATCTAAGCAGGAATTTTTAAAAAAATCTTTACCATGAGACTGGACTGCTCGATGGGGAAATACATCAATTGGTTTTCTGGACATGTCTGCATTTAATTGCATAACTCGGCTCATAAGTTCATTAATCTGCATTTGCAAAAAGAGAAATGTTTAAAAATCTTCAACATATGTGGGTACTCAATAGTATATTCCTTTGGTCATTGCTTTGTAATGCTAACACTCGATGTGAGCCAACTGAAATTAAATAATTCCTGTGCTGCAATTAATTTATTTAGGGGGGAAGGGACTTAATTCTGAGCAATTCATTGTTATGGATTTGGCAGACTGGTTAGGGTGACCCCACCAAAAAAAGGAAACCATTTTTCTGTAGTTCTTGAGCATAAAAATTTAGTTCCAAGATTTTTCAAGCTGAATGTTTGAAATCAGTGCTTTGAGGCATTGTATTTTAGAGCTGTCTTTGCATTTCATTGCCTCGAGAAAATAGTAGAAAGGCAGGAATGTTCCAATCATTTGCAGCAGACGTTGACATGACCAGATACACAGATGTGCACCACAATCCAGGGAAATGCCAAGAGAAACCAAAGGATTTACATGCAAGAATTTCGGGGCTATTTTCCAGTCAGGAGCCACTCCTTACTCAAAGGAGAGGGGGGAAAAAGGTTTTGAAATATTCACGGGGCTCTATTGTTGGAGATAATACAAAAGATCCACAGATCACAATGGTTTGCATTATGTATTTTTTCTGGCTGTTCTTTTCCCCCACAGTTCATAGTATTTATGCAATTTGGCCAGGTGTGCAAGCTTTTTTGAAAATAAAAACATCTTGGGGAGGGTGAATGGCAGGTAGGAATTGTGTCTGCAGCAGAGGCCTCCTTGTTCGCTGAAGTTCCTCTTTATTCTGAGGTAAACTTCCCTTAGGAAGTTCCTTCCAGCCATGGTAGCGCAGTGGTGAGAATGCAGTATTGCAGGCTAATTCTGTCAACTGCCAGCAGTTCGATTCTCACCTGCTCAAGGTTGATTCAGCTTTCTATCCTTCTGAGGTTGTAAAATGAGGACTCAGATTGTTGTGGGGCAATAGGCTGACTTTGTAAACTGCTTAGAGAGGGCTAGAAAGTACTGTGAAGCGGTATATAAGTCTAAGTCCTATTGCTATTGCTTCTGAAAGTATTCTTTCACCCTGTTATGACAGCATGTACAAGAGTGGAGTTCTAAGAAGGACAACAGCAATGAATATGTTTCAAGACTTTCTTTTCTTTGTATCACTTCCTGTTCTACCTGAATCCTCATTACAGGTAGGCCTCGGCTTATGACCATTATTGAGCCCAAAATTTCTGTTGCTAAGTGAGACAGTTGTTGAGTAAATTTTGCCCCATTTTACAATTTTTATTGCCAGAGTTGTTAAGTGAATCACTGCAGTCGCTAAGTTAATAACATGACTGTTAAGTGAATCTGGCTTCCCCATTGACTTTGCTTGTTACAAGGTTGCAGAAGGTGGACCCCAGGACACTGCAACCATCATAAATAGGAGTTGGTTGCCAGGCGGCTGAATTTTGATCACACGACTATCAGGCTGTTGCAACGGTTGTAAGAGAGAAAAATTATCACTTTTTTTCAGTGACCTTGTAACTTTGAACGGTTGCTACATGAATTGTCGTAAGTTGAGGACACGTGTCTGTTGGCAATTTGGATTTTTGAAAACTTGCTTGCCTCATCCAACCATGAAAATCATATCCCTTGTACCCAGTCTTGGATTTTGGCATGCATTGACTCCCCAATCCCTCAATAACCTAAATTAGGTGGATTAAATGAATTACCCCTAATATTTGATCATATAAGTCATATCTGTTCTTTAAAAAAAAATCAAAGTTTCTAACTATTTGTGGTCAAACTAAAGAATTCTTAACAAATTTCAAGATTCTTATCTAGAATTCCAGTGAGATAAATGGCCTTTTCATAGCCTTTCAAGGGTGGAATTGTGTTTTTTCAGACATTGTAAGACAGAATAATATTTTCCCCCACTCCAATATAAAGCTGTTGTCAGAGAAAGTGCCCACGTTATTTGTTAATTACATTTCTTTTCATTTTCAGTTGTAAACAATTATATTATTGTTGCCCCAAAAGAAATCAATTTAGCAAATACTGGCCATTACCTGATTGGAGAGATAATCTAGAGAAGATTGGTGATCATCCATCATGTTCCGTATCATTTTCTTAGTACTTCTTGCATATTCAATTAGAGAATTCTGCAGATTCCCTTTAAACATATAGATTGCCAGCTATGTTAAAGTAATTAAAAGAACGTGTTGTATACTTATAAGAGGCAATGTGGAACATTGTTTTCAGTTTTTCTTTTGTTAGCCATATGAAATGGATTTGTCTGTGCAAAACCTTTTAAAAACCTTTTTAAACAGAATTTGTGTTTGTTGTTTTATTTCATGGAGATGGACTGTAATGAAAGGTGGTAATTCAGCTCCAGAAAAAAATCATAAATAGCAGAAAAGAAAAACCATCTGTCAGATATAGATAATATTGAGTTAACAAACCAAATACTTCAGTATATGGTACTTGTAAATGTCTGTTACTAGATGTAAAACATTTTGAAACAAATTAGAATTTCAGCACAATGAAGTGGTCTGAAAAATGATATTTATTTCATCATCATGGTAAAAAAAAAAACTATCAAGTGGCTTTCTCTGAAAAAAATCAGTTCACAAGTAGCGTACTGCCAAATACCAATATGGGTGATCCCAGGGGTGTGATTCAACCAGTGTTAACAACCAGTTCGGTGAGTGCGCACTTTGCGTGTGTGCAGAGCATTTACTACTGACTTTCTCCAGCAATCCCTGTGTATTAAACAGCTGATGAGCGGCAATCCGCTGTGCCGTGCAAATCAGCTAAGCTTGAAAAACAAGATATAAAGCACAGTCTAGAACCCAGGCAGGTGGGTGGGCTCAACAGCTGATCGTCAGAACAAACTAAACCAGTTCACTCCCAGCTGATCCTCGGAGCTACCGGTTCACCCGGGCTGGACCGGACTGGACCAGTAGAATACCACCCCTGGGTGGGCCCTTGTTGAGAAGTTTAGCACATATGGATAGAAACATTATATGAGAAAAAGCAATATTTTATTTCTTAATGTAAAGAATTCCATATTGTGAAAAGTAATCTATAGGAGAGTCCATGACAATGTCGGATATATGGCATGCGTAAGAAAAAAAATAGTTGCTAATTGATTAAAACAAAATTTCACAATATCACAAAGAGTGATACCACTCTTTGTCAGAGATTTAAATTGATGAGTTGCAGATCCCCAAATTTCTGCATATATATAGGCTGATGACCTTCAAATAACCAATGACAAGAAAGAGTTGTTAAAATAAATATATACATACGACACATATAGTGTTTTCCTTCCCTTAATAGTTTAGGTTGAGAATCAGAGGAGGCCTCACTCTTTTTCTTCTCTAAATTGTCCGTGGAGAGATTTTTTGTTACTAGACTGGCGGTCTCCGCCACTACGGTTGCTGTGGAATTGCCCTGTAAGATTAAATCAAACAAAACTTTATTTCTTAAAAAATATACTTTAAATTCTGCTGTGTATGGTACCAAGGGGTCTAACATCATGCAAAACAAATAAACACAGTGGAAGTTAAAAGCCTTTGTATTTTCAGAACTGAGAGAGTGACTATTTCCCTTGTCTCATATACCCATATATTTTTTTTACTTCCATTCATATCATCCACATACTTTTTTTTATACAGGACTTTCACAAGACCAGACCACCTTCATTCAGCAGCAACTAATCTCATAGCAATCTTGTGAGATTAATTGGGCTGAGAGGACTGATCCAAAGTCTCCCAAACATTTTTCGTGCCTAAGGCAGGACTAGAACTCACACTCTCCTGGTTTCTCATTGAGATCGACTACGTCTTTCCCTTTTCTGTTAGTTTTAGAAACATCAATGTCTTCCTTTCCCTCCTTCTTTTTGACTTTCCTTCACATATGCTGTTTACCAGTGACACCTCTGAAATTGCAACATGTAATCATCCAGATATATTGCATTTGGATACATCCATAAACACTGACGTCTGCTGCCAATCCTACCTTTAGTTAATTAAAGCTTTCACATAAAGACAGGTACGGTATCGTTTTCAGCCTGTCACCTTCTTGCCATATGAAGTATTCTTATAAGTGGTAAGGTGTTGGAATTCATTGTTGGAATGTGTTTCTATGCAAAAACTACAGTAGTATTCAGCCAGTAGATGTCAGTATTTACAGTGTGGATCTATGGTATATACTCTATGCTATTCAGAACATAGAGTTTCCTGTTTCCTGTTACAATAATATAGTTGAGTAGTAAAATACATGGTGAGTGTACTCTTTGTTTAGAATAGAATAACAGAGTTGGAAGGGACCTTGGAGGTCTTCTAGTCCAACTCCCTGCCTAGGCAGGAAACCCTACACCATTTCAGACAAATGGTTATCCAACATCTTTTTAAAAACTTCTAGTGTTGGAGCATTCACAACTTCTGGAGGCAAGTTCTTCCACTGATTAATTGTTCTAACTGTCAGGAAATTTCTCCTTAGTTCTAAATTGCTTCTCTCCTTGATTGGTTTCCACCCATTGCTTCTTGTCCTGCCTTCAGGTGCTTTGGAGAATAGCTTGACTCTCTCTTCTTTTTGGCAACCCCTGTGATATTGGAACATGTCTCCCCAGTCTTTCTTTTCATTAAACTAGACATACCCAATTCCTGCAACCGTTCTTCATATGTTTTAGCCTCCTGTCCCCTAATCATCTTTGTTGCTCTTCTCTGCACTCTTTCTAAAGTCTCAACGTCTTTTTTACATCGCGGTGACCAAAACTGTTTGCTCTGGTGGTGCTTTATCTAAACAGAATTTCTAACATGACAGTGCCGATCATCCTGTCGCATTTTCACCAGTAAACTATGAGCAAAACTAAACCCCATTCTAATCTCAAGTATACTCACTCTGTTCTATGCAAGCCAAGATGATGTTTGCAATCTGCAATGTATTTTGAAAGCCAATATGATGTATCATACTACACTATGAAATGGTATATAAAACTAAGTATTATTGCTATTCATGTATCAAACTTGTAGGTGTATGCAGAATACTAACAGGTGTTAAGGATACAACTTGGCACCTTCCAGATGTGCTTGGGCTTCCATTGCCAGAATTCCCAGGCAACATAGTTGTTGGGAAATTTCAAAAACTAATTTTTTAAGATATCTGGAGAGAGTCAGTTTGATCTAGTGGTTAAGGCACCAGGTTAAAAACCAGGAGAGCATGTGTTCTAGTCCTGCCTTAGGTATGAAAAATGGTTGGGTGACTTTGGATCAATCACTCTTTCTCAACCCAACTAATTTTACAAGGTTACTTTTGTGGGAAAAAGAGGAGGAAGAAGGAGTATTAGGTATGTTTGCCACTTTGAATTATTTTTAAAAATAATAAAAGGCTGGATTTAAAAAATCTGAAGCTTAGAGAAAACTATTCTGGGATATAAATATACCTTTTTGGAAGAGTTTCTACATCAGAATTGAAATCAAATGTTCATGATAACTGTTTAAATATTTATTTCATTTTTAGAATAAAAGAAAACAATATATTGAACTATTTTTAAAATCAGAGGAAAATCCTTTGGCTATTTAAATATTTCTACTGGGCCTTTTTATCCCCATATAAACATATATTCCCTTAGAACAGTTCATAGTAAGTGATATTCATTGTAGAATAGCCCTTTGAAAGTAAACATTTAATTTGTATTTGGAAAATTCTTAAATGCATTTAGTATAGATTAAAACTCCACTGAATACAACTAGATAGACTTCCACTAAATATCTGTGGGCTGCTCATGTAACATTTTGTTTGTTGTTTCTATAGAAATTCATCATTGTATCTTCAGTTTCTGAGGCCAATGGTATCATGCCAGAACACCATATGAAGCACATTCCCTAAAGGAATAACAAAATGTAATGGGCAAAGACTGAAATTAGGTACATACTGGGATATATAAACTAAGAATAAACTAATTAAATTTTTCACCTAATCCTATTTCTTTGACAGGAAAAAAATAGAATTAAAAAAAAAGAATTCCCAGAACTTTTAGTCACTTAAAACAGATAGTCCATACTTAAAGACAAAAAGTAAATTGGTCTTTAAAAAAATCCAGAACTTCATTCAAATCCAGTTTGAATCTCCAGATAAAATTATAACAAACAAAAAGAATTACCAAAAAAAACCGTCCACAACTTCCCTTTGTTAATATAAAAATGTGCAATAAAACAAGCACTTATTTCCAGATGCATCCAGGAACTAGACTAAAGATTGTCACACTCCCATATAATTTATCAAAAGAAATGCCTTCATGTTTTTCTTTTATTAATGATCTGTAACTTTCCCTGTCTTTGCAGAAATTAATGTCCAAATTCCTAATAAGTTTCAACAAGTTTCACAGAATCTACATCAACAACAGGAAAAAGCAAGCACAGTTGCTGTTGCTAGTTGCTTCAATACAGTTTTAACAGAAATCTTTGAAAACAATTGAAGTGGTTTGAGATGAAATAAACAACGCCACTTGAAATCAGGATTTGCTGTCTTAGGTTTCTATCATGTATCAAGGCAATACAACACAAACCTTACCATTGCAGAACATGGCTCGACACTATGAACTATCGAATCGGTCCAAATGAAAAATATAATATTTAGGAAGATCAGTGCGGTAGATCTATTAGGGTAGATCATGTCTGAGTTGGAAGAATAAACATTTTTCAAACGGTTTCAAATTGCCTTGAAAAAAGGCTGTCCACTGGCCAATGAAGTCTTGAATTAAGAATGCAGGAATGTGTTTAGCAGAAACTTTAGCCAAAAAGCCAACCCTTTCATATCCAGACTTCATAACCTTATATAAATTTGATTTTAGATAGTCTATATATAGCTTATTCCTAAAGCCAATGATAAATTATAACATGATTTAATCCTGCAGATTATTTTACCTTTAAAATAACTATACCCAAATAATTAACCCAAAGCAGATCCTATTTGATCCATAGGTGACCTTATCTGAATGTGGTTTATTTTATTTTGGGATCAATGCCAAAAAATGAATAACAAAATCATTTGTTAAACAGAATTATCATGCCCAGACACTGCCAATTCTTCTACAAAAGACAACTCCATGAAACAGACTACTTTGTTTGCCACATTTCTGTACTGTTCATCTCCCTCAAAGAGGGATTCTGGGTGGTGTAGAATAAAGTGTTAAGGTATAAAACAATGTATGTAAAAGTTAAAATAAAAAGAAAAAAAATTAAGAGGCAAGAGATTAAAATTAGTTAAAAGGCAAAGACAAGAGTTATGCTAACAAATCTCACAATGTATTTCTGTTCCTCAGGCACCAAATGTAAAGTGTCAGAAATGGACAGAGAAGAAGGAAGAAACAGAATATGCTGGTGTGGCAATGACTCATCTTTATGGTATATTACAGTAGGAAAGGGCAAATATTTTTGCTTTGGAGACCAACGGACTCCACAATGTACTAATTTATCCCAAGAATCTGGGTTCATATAACACTGACTGCAAACCATACCGAGATGCTGACACAACAAATAGGATGCTCATTATCAATTGCCCCTTAACCTGTCACTGTCTCCCCATACTTCATGGTAAAACTGGGAGATTAGTGAAAACATGGAAATAATAATAAAAACGCTATACGGCACTGCATGTCAGAACAACTAGACACAAGGACAGTTTTTTCCCCCCATGCCACTAATTCACACAACAGTCAAACTATCTAGAAAGGCAATATTATCATTACTCTCATCTTCCCTATTACCTATCGCCTTCTCTTCTTATGACTATAACTTATTTTTGGTATCTTACTATTTAAATTGCTTAATTATTATCCTAATTATTAGTACGATTTATGTTGATTGCTTATTTAGTATCCATGACTATCACTTAAGTGTTGTATCTAATGTTTTATGATAAATGTATTTTTACAATGACTATGATCATGATCTATCACTATTGTTGTGTATACACTGAGAGCTTATGCACCGGAGACAAATTCCTTATCTTATCACACTTGACCAATAAAGATTATTCCATTTTTATTTCTATTCCTGTTGTATTCCAATCTATTCTTTATTCTATTCGGGAGGGGCGGACGGGGGACACGAAAGAGGGGCAGGAACGAAGAAGCGCACCTTCTTCCATTCACCGCCCCTTCGGATGACGCAGGGAGTTCTGGGAAATGGAACCTCCCATTTCGACGAGCGAGAAAGCTTGGCTTGGGGAAGCCCCTTTCGCTTCTCCCTCCCTCCCTCTCCGAAGCTCCTCCCCTTCAGCGCCGGGCTCGGTTGCCGTGGCGACGAAAGCGGCGTTGCCGGTTGCTAAGATGGCTGCCCGGCGGCCGCGCGGCTCCGGAGCCCGCTGAGGAGGCTTCTCTGGGTGCTTCCGAGGCGGCAAGTGGGGCTCGCGGGGACCCCGCTGCGGGTGGTCCGAGGAGCCCCGAACGCGAGCGCCCGAACCCTGTCAGACCCACCGCGCGCCGAGGCGAATGACTGGGCCTGTGTAAGGGCGGAGAAGAGGATGGCGGCGGAAGGCTAAAGGCGGATGGAGCTTGGCGGCGGCGGCGGCGGCGGCGGCGGTAGCTACTACGCCAACTCCTGGAGGCCGGCGACCGCGGTGGCGGCAGAGCGCAGCAGTCCGACTTTGGGTAGGGCGCCCGCAGAAGTTGCTGCTGCCGGAGCCGACCTCTCCGCGGCTGCTCCAGGCTGGAGGAAAGGCTTATCGGAAAGTGCCCCGCCGCGGGGACTTGGCCGCCGGTCCTTGAACGCCTTCGTCCCTTGCACGTATCCTCCCAGATAGCTGGAAGGCAGCCGGGGTTCCGTGGGAAGCAGGCGGGCGGGGGCCGCATTGCAAGCGGTCGGATGCGTGTTTTAAACCCGCGCTTTTGCTAAACAAACAATTCCCTCAACACTGTCAAACTATTTACTAAGTCTGCATTACTATTACTCCTCCCATTCTTCTTTTCACCCATTTCCTCCCATTAATGACTGTATGAGTGTAACTTTGTTGCTTGTATCCTTACGATTTTTAAAAATTATTATTTTATTGACTTTTTACTAGTATGAATTCATAGGCCCTAGCTTATTATTATGTTTCCTAGTATGATTTATATGTTTTATATGTTTCCTATATATATGTTTCCTAGTATGATTTATATGTTTTATATTTCCTATATATATGTTTTCTAGTATGATTTATATATTTTTATATGTTTCCTATATGTATGTTTCCTAGTATGATTTATGACTACTTCTAAGTGTTACACCTATGTTTCTGGACATATGTATCTTGAGAGCATATGCACCCAAACAAATTCCTTGTGTGTCCAATCACACTTGGCCAATAAAGAATTCTATTCTTAAAAAAACCCAAAAACCTGTGGACTCCTAGAATTCCCTGACTGCTAGGGAATCATTATTTGGAGTCCGGTAGAAGGGAATGCTTCTAGTCCTCAACTTAACAATTTGTTTAGTGACCATTCAAAGTTAACAATGGCACTGGAAAAAAAGGGGACTTAGGACCATTTTTTACACTTTTGACCCATGGAGCAGACACATGGTCATGCAATTGACATTTGGATGCTTGACAATGGACTCACATTTATGACGGTTGCACTGTCCCGGAGTCACATGATCCCCTTTTGCGACTTTCTGACAATCAAAGTCAATGGGAAAATCAGATTCACTTGAACAGCTGGGTTACTAATTTAACAATAGCAGTGATTCACATAAAAAAATGGCAACGAACATTGTAAAAATGGGGCAAAACTCAATAAATTTCTCACTTAGCAACATAAATTTTGGGCTCCATTGTGATCATAAGTTGAGACTACCTATACTTGGGAGTTCAGGATTAAACCGTTATTGTTTCATAAATATGCTTATGTTTACGGTACCTATCTGCAAGAAAACATCCAAGCAAATCCAGGGTGATCTAACATACTGTACTTGGATTTTTGTATGTAGCTTTGGTCATCATTTCTGAAAAGATACTGTTCAGCTCAGGGGTGGGATGGTACAGGTTCTGCCCGGTTCTATAGAACCGGTAGGTCTGAAGAGCAGCAGACACTGAACCGGTTCTGTGTTTGCTGCTGTTTGGCCCACCTGCCTGCCCAGGTTCTTACCTGTCCTTTATTTCCTGTTTTTTCAACCTCAGCTGCTTTGTGCGGCACAGCTGATGTTGAAATAGCAGGAAAAAAGACTTTTTCAACACTGCACCTGCGTGCAGCACTTTTCAGGTGTCTGGACAGCACAGCCTAAGGTTATTTTACACCCGTGCGTCAGGCACGCATGCATGTGGAGCGTGCATGCGCGCACAAAACATAATCACCAAACCGATAGTAACACCGGTTGAATCCCACCCCGGTTCAGCTAGAAAAAGACAAGCAAATTCACTAGAGGACTAGAGATGCTTCCATATAAAGAGAGATTAAAGCACCTGGAACCTGTTAACTTGTGGCTAAGATATGTAAGGAAATATATTACAGAGATATACAGTCATGTATAGTATTGAAAATCTAGATAGTTTTTCTTCCTTTTTCATAATTATAGTTTAGGGTTATCATGTGCAAATAACTGTTGTCTACTGACCTTGCAGTTTGAAAGATTACTATTTATAGATTTTATAAATGTGGGAGAGGAGTTGACTTGTCAAAAGGAAGTTTTCTACAATAAAATGGTCACATTCTGGATTTGCATGCATGTATAAATCTGTGCAAGGTTGATTAATATTTTATGTAAATAAAAGAACTTTATTCATTTTTAATTAATGCAAAATGTGCAGATTGCTTCAGAAAGCTAGAATGGGTTTGAACTCCCTGTCAAGTGGACACTCAGTTGCAAATACTGATTTTAGTGTAATACATTATGTTAGAAGAAGGGTAATCCTTAAAATTGAGAGGCAGTTTGGTGTAGCGGTTAAGGAAGGGGTCTTCAAACTTGACAGCTTTAAGACTTGTGGACTCCAACTCCCAGAATTCCTCCTCCAGTCATGTTAGCTCAGGAATTCTGGGAGTTGAAGTCCACAAGTCTTAAACTTGCCAAGTTTGAAGACCCTTGGGTTAAGGCATCATACTAGAAACTGGGAGACTCTTTATTAGGCACAAAGCCAGTTGAGTGGCCTTGGGCTTGTTATTCAAAATGTATACACGTTTACACTAAACTGAGCTTGGATTAATATTTCATTTTTTAGATTGACTCTTGGAGAAAGAGCAGGAATCAGAGTAGGGAATAGGCAGTCAATTTCTCACAAATTTTTAACAACTATGCTTCTGAACTCATCTATAAGTGACACAGAGCAGCAGGTGGACCAGGTTTGCTGATACTTAATTATTCAGTAGTTAATTAAAAAAAAGATTGTGAAGAATTATTAAAGAATCTCTTTAGTCTGGTTGCATAAATGAAGAGAATCACATTGAAGCAATCAGAAATTTGTTTCCCATATACATTAATAGGCTTTGACAGAAATTTATGAACTGTGTCAATAGTGCAAATAAAGTGTCTGTTTAGTGTAAACACTAGAAAAACAAATTCCACGCGTGGAAATATCTGAAAACAAATACTTAAGGTTTGAAAGCTGAATTAAAATCTGGTTCATCATTTGAAGTTAAATTTGAAGAATCAATACCAATAAAAAGATTCATAGTTAAGCAGTAGAATGCAAAGAGGGTAGACAAATTCATGGAGACCTGAGCTAC